AGAAGGAGAAGAAACAGCTGGAGCAGGAGCCTGTGTGGCGCACATGCAGGTCAGAGCTTTCTCCCACGGCTTCTGAATTCACAAAAGGGATAAAATTGTGTCCCTTAGGGTAGGTAGTTTGTCCCTAGGCACCAAGAAGCCCAATGCAGCACCTCTGAGGATGGGTTAAGGGCCCAGGGCTCTGGAACGGGTCCTGTGGGAAGCCCTTCTGCAGACCACCACTCGGCGACCGGAAGAGCTCTCTGTACTAGATTTGGTCCCACAGCCACCACCCCATGAAGGAGGCTGGGACAAGGTAGAACTGTCAGGACCTGAGAACCAGACACAATTGGGAACCATCAAGTCATGAGTGATGCTGTTGGTCCTCCTAGGACACTTACGGGTTACCAGGGCGTTGGGGCATAGACTTACCCAGAGATGTCGTGTCAAGAGAGGGGACATTTTACAGGTAGGTTTTAGAGAAGAGAAATGAGACACCATGTGAAGTGGAAGTAATGTCTTTCAGCCAGAAATAGCCTGAAGTGGCACAACAGCGTTCTGGCCCCACTGACCACCAGCACAATAACCAGTGGTGTTTCCAAGGAGCCCATCCCCCACTCCTGCTATCAATACCAACAGCACGGAAAGACTGTATTGTTCAGGTGGCTTTATTGCCATGACATATAGGACTTCCTGAGGAGTTCCTGGTTGCCATAGGTCAGCTCCGAAATGTAATGGGCCCCACACCAGGCATCTGCTATGTGTAACAAGCCACCCCAAAGCTCCGTGGCCTGAAACAAGTCATTTGTTTTGCTGCAAACCTGTGTGTGCAAAGCTGGTTGGGGTTGCTACGTCTTAGCACCACATGGTTGCTCCCTGGGGCTGGAGGACTCACTTTCAGGATGACACACTCTCTCATGGCTAGTAGATGGGTGTGGACCAGCAGCCAGAGGTTCTGTTCATGGACTACTGAGGAGCCTTCACAGTGCTGTTGCTAGGACCCAAGACGAGGCGATAGCGGAGGTGGCAGCATGAGTGAGGGCTGGGCGATAACATATCAAATAACATGCATGGTTTCTATGGCAACGGCAAGTCCCCTAACTTGGCCAGTTCATAGCCCACAAAGGGAGTGGGGAGAGGCGCCCAAGGGATGAAGGTTAGTCCAGCCAAGAGAAGGTGCAGCCAGGAGGTCAGGCGGGTGGGGTGGGGCACCTGGGAACACCAGTAACACATGCCCCCCCCCGCCCCGAGGTCAGGCAGGCTGTGGGCAGTCCTATCTCTATTCTTTCTGTGAATGCTCCATAATTTACTGAACCATTCCTTACTAAGAGGCAATGAGATTTCCAGTTTTTGTTTTGTTCAGTTTGCTTTGCAATTGCAAACAGTCCTCTCGTGACTGCTTGCACAGATATCCTGGCCTTTTAGTGTCTATCTGTGGATGAATTTCTAGCAGTGATGTCAGTGAGTGAGAAGGTTAGTTACTGGTCTTCTCTTTTGCTTAGCAAGGCTCAGGGGAAGATATCAGGAAGCTGGAAATGGGATGGGCCCTTGAGCAGAAATGCCCCTCCCTTGGCACTATTGCCTGTCCTGGTCCAAGCAAGTGGGAGGGAGAAACTGTGAGATTGGGGTGGCGGAGGGTGTGGAGGGGGACAGTTTCAACCCCCAGTCTGTGACTGTCACAATTGGAGATGTTATATTACTATTGACGGAGACTTGGTTAATGGAGACGTTATATTGCTATATGGCCATATGGGCAGGGAGACCATCAGAGTCACCTGGCAGGGTTGCTAGCACTGCCCTTGCGGGCCCCACCCCTGGGTCTCAGGACCTGCTGTAGGCTGCTGCTCAGAGGAGCAGGGAGCTGTCAAGGGTAACCCAGCCAACTGCTGTCAGGACTCGGGTTTCACCTGAGTTTCTGACTCCAAAGTCTGTGTTGCCTGCTTCACTGAAGTCTCAGCCCCAGCTGGGAATCACCTGGGGGCACTGGGAAAGCTGCTGCCCACACAGCGCTCCTGTCAGAGTCTTGGGGGGACCCAGCTGCAGGAGATTCCCAACAGCCCCAGATGAGCCCAATGGGACCAAAGTTGGAATCCACACTATTGCTGTGTGGCAATGCTTGAGTCCTTGCTGAACACAGGTCCTTATCTTGTTTGTCAGAGTTTACTTCTGGGGTTTCCATTCTGTTCTACTTATCTGTGTGTCTGTTCTTATGACAAGTAAGTCTATATTTTTGATGGTACTAAAAGGATGCACCAGACTTCACTGTAATTTTAGAGTTCCATCTCATTCCGGAGCCACGTCAAGGTAGCAGAAACCATAAGTAGGCACAACAACTGCTCAAGACGCGCAACAGTGACCGCTGTTCTGTGTCCCAGGCGCATGTGGGCAGTGACAGGCTGAGGAAGGACCCACATGAGATGTTTCCACTGACCCCTGGAGGCCAACGTTTGAACTGAGTGAGGAGATTGCTTCTCTTGGTTACAGAAAGGCAGGGTTTCCCAAAGATCTCTCCCTCACTTATCTTTGGTATTTCAATGATTGACAAACAGATAAAAATATATTTATATAGGGATTATCTATATTGAAAACTAGACATGGATTTTTTTTTCTCTGTCAACATCACAGTAATATCAGCTGTTGGAACAAAAGGAGAGGTATTTTCCCATTCGATCCTGAATGCTGAAAACTCTCCAGTTTCTATTCAGGAAGACATTTGTTTTTATTGTTCGTGTTAGCTGAGGAAGTTTAAACTCCTACAGCCAGGCAAGGAGAAGGTTGATTTTCTCTTTATTGTAAAGGTTATTAGGCAGAAACCAGATAGAGAAGTTATTTGTCTTTAGACAATCCTGTAGAATCAGAACCACCCAAACATGTCCCAGTTTTGTTGAAAGCCAATACGCAAAGGGCCTAATGCACAGTGATATGTCTTTTAGAAAATTCATTTTATTGCTCAAGATGTGGCTTATTTCAGAAAGTGCTTCCGTCAATTTCCCTGCTTTTAACTGATAAGAAGAGTTAAGACTTCCCTAAGTATCTGAGAAATAATGACACCCACTGAGGTTGTCTGCATCCCTTCACCATAGAAGGCATCTCTTCACATATAACTGGTAATTTGCTCCACTAGGCCCTTTGCTGCAAGACCCACTGCTCTCATCAATACATACAAATGCCAGAAAGCCTATATTTTGGTCAAAAGTAAAGTATACACTTAAAAAATGCAGAACTTTTCTAGTGAAATAAACTTACCAGAAAACATATTCTTTTTTTCTTTGGCATACCTTCCCAGCCTCCTCAGATATAAAGAGCAGAACACTAAGTGAAGGTGACTTGGTTGAATTTTTCCTCACTTTTTGGTCTGTCCTTGGTACTGCTCAGAAATTCTGGTCTTCGATTTACCCACTCAGAACCATCCAAGTCATTCCATCAAGAAATAGCTTGGACACCACAAACTCATCACCGGGATTCCGGTAATTCTCCTCCCAGAGCCCAGGTTGCACATCAGAGTGTAGTATCCAGGTGAAAATAGAGGCTGGGGAGAAAGGATACTGCCATGTTAAGGGTCCCCAAGATGTGTGGTAAGTACTGTGTTGCCTTCAGGAATGTCTGCTCCTCCCAAACTTTCTGCCATGTAGTCTCTGGCAAAACTACCAACATGCAAAGGACGCCCGCTCCTTTCTTTCTGAGACAAATGATGGGACTTACAGAAGTGACCACCGTTATTTTCTTGTAAGTGAAGTTGTGCCAATCTGATAAAGTAAATGTTTCATGAAGTCAACGACTGCTTAAATTGTAGGACTGAACTGTTTGTATATAAATATTACCTTTTATATTCCATTCGAGCTTTATGTAGATGAACACATTACCTTAATGACCGCGTCTCCGCAGGGGGCAGGGGAGACATGCGGGCCTCGCAGGCCAGATGGCTGCTTTTTCTTGCATGAGATTAAAAGATGCTCCTCATTCCCCACGATGCTCTTGAGGCAGATTAATATCGCCAGCTAAATTGCTCATGTTTTTGGAATAAAATTTAAAGAGAACTTTTTAAAGCAATTGGTGTCACAAATTCTGGAAGCAGACTGCTCTCCAGGTAGGGCACGCTGGTTTCAGCACTCGGTAATTAATGGAAAGGGTTCTGTGTTAATTGACTGCTTCAGGAAAGAGAAATGTAATGAGTCCTTATTAATCATGAAGAGGAATGTGCCGACGGAGGCACCGCAATAACCTCTCTAACGTGAAGAAATGTTAATTAATGAAAAGAACAATGATGTAAGAAATGAGCTGTGTGATGCTTGCTGCTGATGGCGGCTGGATTTTAAACACGCTCGTCAGAGTGTAAACCACAGAATGCCGCCTTGCACATCAGCTCCGCGTAACCTGTGCCTCCCAAAGTGAGGGGGGAATCTTAAAATGCTTCTGTCATCTGTGCTTGGAGAAGCAAAAACACTCAGCCAGAGTTTATTTATTTTAGAGAAAATGGGCTCGCTCTTCACCTCTGATTGGGCATCTCACATTAAAACCATCCCAGAGCAGAACATAGTCACTTATTAATGTCATTTCACTCCAACACCTTAGGTCCTGCTCACTGCTGGGGACAGAGGGAGGAAAGGGGGCGTTGTCCTTACACTGAAGTAAACAGATTCCATTTCTGATATTTCCCAGCTAATAAAAAGAAAAATGCAGATTTACTGTGGGGACATAGTGACTTTTTTTTCATCCAGTTGTAAGTCCCTTGGAAACTATGTAGCTTCCAGCCCATCTAACAATTCATTTCCAGAAAGGAGGCCATGCTCACTAAAATGCAGAGCCACCGTCATACCAGACCCAGTCCCCGGCAGTTAGGGGGCTCGTAGTGGCCACAAGGCCAAAGCCCATGGCTCTGTCGCCTGCCCAGTGGCGACAGCGACCCCTTGGGAGCAGAGCGGGCATCTTGCACAACAGGTGCAGCTGAAGCCTGTCCGGTGGGGGGACCCAAGCAGCTAGGGACCCCTCCAGTCCTGGCTGACCCCTGCCTCTCCCTGCAGGTGGAACGTGCTGGGCCTGCAGGGAGCCCTCCTCTGCCACTTCATCGAGCCCGTATACCTGCACAGCATCGTCGTGGGGAGTCTGCACCACACTGGCCACCTCTCCCGGGTGATGAGCCACCGGACCGAGGACATCGGCCAGCTGCCCACCTCGTACCGGCACAACCGGCCCCTCCTCAGCGGTAAGACAACTCGTCCCCAAAGACACACACCCCTCCCGTCCGCAGGCTAGCCCTGGCAGGCCTCAAAGGGAACAAACAGGGCAGATGATACCCATTTTGGCCGAAGGCTATTTCAGAGATAGGAGCAGATTTACAGCAACGCACACCTTCAAAAAAGAGGAATGTCACAGTGCATCTGTGAACGTAGGAAGAGGCCACGTTTTCACCAGTGACTGTAGATAGGATGCCTCACATTGGCGCATCACGGTGCTACTTACACTGCAGTGGCCACAGTGCCCTGTGAAAATAAAACGCTCGCAACCGTGCGCGTGTCCAATGGGGCATCCGAAGGCGGGCCGTGTGGGCGAGAGGCAGGGGAAGCGCCGCACAGGGCGTCGTACATGGCAAGCGGCAGGGCTGGCAGGGTGGCGCTCGCGGGCAGAAGCAGGAGTTTCAGAGGCAGCGGAGTTGTGCGCGCTGGGCTCTAGCACAGCCTCGCAGCCTGCTCTCAGCCTCCCACCGAGCCTCAGTGTCCCCATGTTGAAATGGGGACAGCCACTTGTAAGGATCAGGAGTCACACGGCCTTGAAGTGGTGGAGTTCTCTGCATAGCAGCGGTTTGGGAAGGTGACGCCTCCTCGGGACAGGATGGCTGGAGGGTTCCTGGGAAGTGACTGCGAACTCCACTTGGCTGCCGGGGGGACACGACCTCTGGCCCCTGCCCGAGGCGGGCGGCCTGGCCGGGCTGTGGGGGCCCAGGCTGGCTGGTTTGCCTCTCAGACCACATCACCTGCGAGAGAAAATAGGAAGATAGAGCGCTGTTTTTAGCGTGTGGCTGAGCTGACCTAAGATTGATTCCCAGGATTATAAAACGGTTCTAAATTATAAAATCAGGGCGATAACAATGCCCCAGAGCGGTGGCAGGGAGAACCAAAAGAAAGAATTCATGAGAAGCACTTAACTAGCCAAGCAAGTGTTCAGGAAAGACACCTGTCCGTCCAGCCCAACAGTGTGCTGGAACAGCTGCGCCCAGACCAGCGCGGCGCTGTGAGACTCCGGGCCGGCACCCGGACCCTTCCGCGCGGGCCACTGACTACGGAGAGCGGCCCTGCAGACGCGACTCTGGTCGCTGTGTGCTCCACCGGATGCAAAGTGGGGAGAGCAAGTAATTAAAATCTGGCTTTGAATACTCTCCTTAGAGAAATGTAAAGTGCACTGGAAGTGACCTTGCTGGCGGTGTGGTCTGTCTCGGCTTTAAATCTCAAGGTTCAATTTTTATTTGTCTTCATCAAGAAGAATCACAAGAAAGGGGGAAAGTCTGTGTTGATGGTGCACTTTACAGTATCTTTTAATGTTGAACACCCTTTAATCCACTTGAAGATTAAACTCAGGCTTATTTTATAGCCCATGGCAAGGTCTTGACAACGAAAATGAAACTTGAGAGATGGACCCTAGGAATTGAATGTGGGAGTTTGGTTATTTCCTGTGACAAAAATCACAGGCTCGGTGCTAACCAGACAAGACCCTCAGTTGCCGTTCTTCGCTGCACACTTTCCTGAAGTAGTAAAAACATCTAGCCGGCATATGAGAAGGTTTTTCAGATGTCGTGTTTCATGAACAACTGAATTTCTCAGAGAAAACTTGGGACACTTATGGAAACGTTGGGCAACAGTCCCTGTAAGTCCTGCCCGACACTACCTCCCAGTGGCATTTGGACACCTCCCTTTAGGGAATCGCAGCGCGTGTGACGGGGACCTGTTGCTGTTTATGTCCACATTTTCGTGTGAGGCTGAATTTCCAAAATACCGTCACACTAAGCTGCAGAACCTGATATGGGGTCTCCAGCCTCTTTGATTCAGGAGACAGTTCTGAAATAGATGCTCATTAATAGCCTCTTGCGAAATAACCCAGTGGGCAGAAGCAAGAAGCAAACATTTCCTTTTATGCAGATAGTAATTTGCAATCTCATGTATATTAAACAAACACAGGTATATTATGGAATGACCTACGAATTTTTCATAAATGTTTAAGATAAAACACATGAGCTTCAAAAAAATATCTGACAGGAACTTATCCTCCTGTGCCCTTGAAAAAAATGGGAGGAAAAATATTACAAATCTTGCTAGAAAAATCTAAAAACAATCAATATCTTTTGCATGAAGATCAAAAAAAGTTAGATTCAACAAAGGACTATTTAATAACACATTTCCATAGATTAGCACTGCTCTCCCTAGGCACATTAGATGGTCCACAGCTTATGAAAAATGTAAAAGTATAGAAAAACCTTGTTTCCATTTTCTGGGGTGTTCTTTTAATAATAGTTGTATACTACTTAAGTTTCACTTAATTTCCACCATGATTTTAAGGAATTGTTTCACAAAAGAATTGAACATCAAACTTACATTGCTCTCGAGAATTTTATGATTTACGGAAAATACTTCCATTGTCAATACATTTTATTTATCCAAACATTAAGAAGTTGGTCAACATAATCCAGGTGTTCATTTATTCATTCAACAAATATGTATTGATTACTTATGATGAGCCAGGGAGTAAATAAGATGGTCAAAAATCCATACCCAAAGGTGATTGCATTCCAGTGGGGAAGACAAACAAACAAACAAACAAATATAAATGCTTTATAGAAAAATAAGGCAGAGGAGATTAAAAAGTGACCCTCACTGTAATCAGAGGGAGAGGAAAGATGTCACTAAGAGGGTGACTTCTGAGCAAAGTCCTGGAGGACGAGAGAAAGAACGTGTGGAGGGGCAGAGAGAGAAGAGGGTGGAGGGCAGAGCTGGGAGAAGAGTGTCAGGGTGTCGGGTCAGGAAACAGGCGGGGTTACAGCTGGGTACGGGGGTACATCAGTCAGGACTCAGTCTGAACCCTACATAAGCAGGACCCTGGGGGCTCACAGAGCAGCCTGAAACAGTCTCCATTCTGAAATTTAGATTACAATAGTCCTACTACAAGAGCAAAATAATCCTACAGAAATTTGCAGACACAACACTGGCACACAACAAAAACCAAGCAGGCATGGGAGGAGAAAAAAACCACTTTAAAAAAAATGCAGCAAACACAACAGATGATGGAAACAGACCCACAGCTCCAGAGACTTTCATGTAACCGCACTCAACAGGATAAAAGAGACTTTAAAAACAAGATGGAAAATGTAGGGAAGAGATGGAATTCAAGGGGAAAGAGAACCAAATGGGAACTTCAGAAATAAACAAAACAGTGCGCATAGCACAAAATAGGTTTAATAGAAAGTTAAATGCAGCCAAGGAAGGAATGAGTAAATTGGAACGTCACTGTGAAGGACACAACTGGAATGCAGCAGAGACAGATGGAGAGTGTGTTGTCAGGGTTCTCCAGAGAAGAGATCCGATGGGAGCTCATTTTCCTACTGGAAGCTAGATTCATTTTAGGGATTGGCTTGCACGATCATGGGGGCTGGCAAGTCTGAAATCTGCAGGGCAGGCCGGCAGGATGGGTGCTCTAGCAGGAGTTGGTATTTCAGTAAAATTCAAAGGTAGTCTCAGGGCAGAATTCCTTCCTCTTAGAGGGACCTCGGTCTTTGCTCCTAGGGCTATCAACTGATTAGATGAGGCCCATCTGCATATTGGAGAGTGATGTGCTTTATTCAGGGTCTACTCATTTAAAGGTCACTCCCAACTAAAAATACCTTCACAGCAATGTCCAGCTAGTGTTTGAGCAAGCATCTGGCACCACCGCCCCACCAAGCTGACACGTAAAATTAACCATCTCAGAGGAAAAGTACAAAAAAAATGGTAAGCGTGAGAATGTCTAACATACATGTAACAAGAGTTCTAAAAGAAGAGGGAAGAATGGAGTGGGAGCGATATTTAAAGACATAATAATAACTAAGAATGTTCCAGGACAGATGCACCACTTCAAGCTACAGATCTAAGAAGCATGTTAACCCCCAGAAGAACTTTTTAAAATCCTCCCCTCAGCAGTAAAAATGATGATAAAAAAAAAAGACAAACAGGAAATCTAAAAAGCAGTCAGAAAATAAAAGAGAGATCAACTTCCAAGTAGCTAAATCGGATGGCTAGCTGATGCTTGGAAGACCAAAATGAAGGAAACAATATCTTTAAAATGCTGATCGAAAATTAACCTCAACCTACAAATCTAACCCAGTAAAAGCATCCTTTAAAAGTGAAGGTGAGACAACATTCCAGACAGAGCATAGCTGACTCAACTCCAGCCAACTTGCACTGAAGGAGACACTACGTGTGTTATTTGACAGGAAAGAAATGATTCCAGATGGGTAATGAGAACAAAAACACATGAAAATCATCCACATTTTTATTCAGTAAAAAACCTGACTTATTAATACACTTGGGATACTACAGCAGTGAGATATATGTAATTTGAAGCAAAACTGATGATATCTTGCCAAAGTCCCTTTATCTCATACCTTTTGAAATAATAACAGTCCTTACAAGAACCAATAGCCATGGCATTATCAAGTGATAAAATGAAATATTCACATTTTTTCCTGCCATGGAAGAAATGTCACATCTTTGGGAATGTCCTGTGAGCCCACGCCTCTCACACTAGGAGGAACACAAACCACAGTCATTTATCATCCAAATAAGGTCACGGTCCTGTTGGCTCTAGGAAGGAAGTCCCTGAAAAGTAGTGTGGAAACTCTCCTTAGAGAAGACAAACCCAGCCTCCCACGCTGGCGACAGAGCCTTTCACAGAGCAGCAGTCATGGTGTGGCCGGCAGCTGGCATGGCACATGCCCCCTGCACTGGCATTCAACTGTCTGGGCCACCAGTGCAGCAGCCTGGCAGATGAGGGAAAGCAAGGAAAACCTGTAATGGCCCCATTTTCTCTCATACGGTGTGCTCCCCTGGGGCTGGCAGGAACCCAGCAGACTTGTCACCAGCATCTCAGCAGGAAGAGCTCATGGCCACCCTCCATCCTCCTCACACATAATTTCCAGAACCTAATGCACACCACATAGCTTCCTTGGAATGTGCTCCGTTA